CCTTCCTTCCTTCCTTCCTTCCTTCCTTCCTTCCTTCCTTCCTTCCTCCCTCCCTCCCTCCCTCCCTCCCTCCCTCCCTCTCTCTCTCTCTCTCTCTCTTTCTTTCTTTCTTTCTTTCTTTCTTTCTTTCTTTCTTTTCTTTCTTCCTTTTCTTTCTTTCTTCCTTTCCTTTCTTCCTTTCTTTTCTTTTCTTTTCTTTTCTTTTTTTTCTTTCTTTCTTTCTTTCCTTCCTTCCTTCTTTATTTCCTTCCTTCCTTTCTTTCCTTCCTTCCCTCCCTCCCTCCCTTCCTCTTTCTCTCTCTCCCTCACCCTGTACTATTGTCTTTCTGATGTATCATGTTTTGCATTTTTTTCCTTGGCTTTATATGACAAAAACCAAGTGGAAAACACATCTCCAGTTTTTATTGATTTATTGCCAGTGTATTGGTGGGGTGGGTTTGTCCAGCCTCTGATTTGTGTTGTCTTATCAGCTGTCCTTATCCCAAAGGTGCTTTTATTTTTTCCCCTCAAAAGGCAACTGGAGTTTGTTTTTCCTTGAAGACGTTTCATTTCTCATCAAAGAAGTTCTTCAGTTCTTCTTCAGAACTGAAGAAGCTTCTTGGATGAAAAGCAAAACGTCTTCAAGGAAAAACAAATTCCAGTTGCCTTTTGAAGAAACCACCTGTGTGACAACCATGACCTGGATGACTGAAAGCCTCCATGGACCACCCCACTGCCGTTCTTGCACAGAAACTACTTCCTGAAGTTCTCTGTTGGCACTAATTGTCGTTTTCTTAAAAAAAGAATAACACAAGTATCTTTAAGGGGTGGATGGTTTATAAAACACACACACATACACACAGCCATCCTTGCATGTTGTGCCCTTGATCCAGATGGGATAACTGTGGCCTTTGCATGGAATAAAACTGTGTGCCATTTTGGCAGAAGTTGGGTCATTGGAAGTTGAGTCAACTTAGCCATGACTGAGTTGCACAATAGGGCCGTTCGTGGTCATTTTCTGCTCTTCAAACTGACTTTCTTTTCAATAATTCTCATGATTCATAGCTGGTATGACTTTTCACAATCTTGTTCTGAGTGTTGGCCAGAAAGAAAAGTGGGGAGAACAGATATGGCTCAAAGCGAAAGGATAAGAGTGAACCCTTTGTAAGTTTTGCTGTGGCAAAACCCAAGGCGTTGGTTTTGGCTTTAGATCCACGGGGAAACCCAATGTTCTCGCGGAACCCAGGAATACCCTGTTTACCACCAAAAGGTAAGAACTCCGTGTCATAGTGGAGAAGCTGGAGAATTAATGGCGAACCAGGGTGTTACAAAGGCATATTTCTTCCCATTTGCAAATATCTCAGGTGTTTGGTTTTAAGTCAATGTATTGCCTCTCTGAAAAGAAAAGGAAAGAAAAAAAGCCACAAAGAATTAGGAATGCTCAGAGAGCTTGAGACATTATGTGCCGGTATGCACATGCTTTCAAAAACCGACCTACACTAATGTCCAAAACTCTTTGCTAATCTGCTTTCCATTTTGCACCTATCAGCTAAAAGGAAGATTGTGGTTGTGGAAAACTTGTTGCTTACTTTTGCATAGTCTTCTCTCTCTCTCTCTCTCTCTCTCTCTCTCTCTGTGTATGTGTGTGTGTGTGTATGTGTTGGACTGTACACTGTATCTTATTCTTATTGTGTAATCCTAACAATTGTTGGCAATCAGTGTGTTTGGCTTTCTCATTAAAGATAGCATTCTTTTTTGCTGGGAAGGCAGAAACAGAATGTATGACAAGAATGGTATTAGAAATGTTGAATGAATAGACAACTGGTGGGGGGGGAGGGGGAATACGAAGCCATCTGAAACACAGCAACGTTTTATAGATTTGTGGAGGAGAAACCAAGAACCGACCTGGTGTATATTTACTCACCACAAGTAATTCCCACTGGAGCATCTTTAGGGGACAGTGAATGCATGATTCCATTCCAGTGTGGAAAAAGCTCTCTTGGCATCTGTGCAGAAACTTCTCATCCTTTCAAAGGAGCTCAGAGGGGTTGGCTTTGATTTGGTGATTCCAATCAATATTTTGATGTGGGAATTTAATTCAGCAATTCAATGGGGTTGCCCCCCACAACCCCGCCTTGGTTAGCAAATATTTGCACCATTCCAAAGGTTGCAGAAGGATTCCTGGTGGTTAAGAAGTCAACATGCAATTCCACCCCCACCCCACCATCCTAGGACAAAACAAATAAAAACCTGCCAGGGTGTAGATATATTTTTCCCCTTGGAGTTGGACTACTGTGGTGCAAATCCTAGTTTTTCCCCACATCTGCTGTTTGGAAACTGAAACAGTATTTGCTGTGTGAGCAAGGAGACAGCAAGGAGCCTGGGTGTGGCTTAGCTCAACTGTTTTATACTAAAGCTGCCTCTCTTCTGCTTGTGTTTTGCATTTGAAAGAGATTTCTTTTCAGGTGGGAAGGAGGAGTAGAACTCCTTAGCATCAGAGTGTGTTAATAATAATAATATAGGAAATACTAATGCTCTGATGGTCATTTCTTAGAGGAATATATGGGCCAAATTTCAAGTATGTAGGCTTTATGGTTCTGGAAATTTTGTGATGATATGTGAAAATATCTATCTATCTATCTATCTGTCTATCTATCTATCTATCTATCTATCTTTGGTTATTCGGGTTTTCTCCCCCGTAAAATTGGAAGTATCTAGGTGACGTTTTGATGAAATCTCATTCGTCATCTTCAGGCTTGTGTCTTCGGCTTTGTGCTTCTCAGAGTAATGTGAGCTTGCAGCTGCTTCTTCCTTTTAACTGCTAGTGGGGGTGTGACTTGATTGGGTGGGGGCTTGGCTGACAGCCAAACCCCCAACCAATGAGAACACACCCCCACCCAATGAGAACACAGCCAAGCCCCCACCCAATCAAGTCACACCCCCACTAGCAGTTAAAAGGAAGAATCAGCTGCAAGCTCACATTACTCCGAGAAGCACAAAGCCGAAGACACAAACCTGAAGATGACGAATGAGATTTCGTTGAAATGTCACCAAAATACTTCCAATTTTACGGGGGAGAAAACCCGAATAACCAAAGATATATATATGTGTGTGTGTGTGTGTGTGTGTGTGTGTGTGTGTGTGTGTATCACATCATCACAAAATTCCCAGATATATATCGCTGGCATCAGCTCTCCTATCACCTCTGGGAATAATTGTTTTGAGACTGTAATTTGTCTGACTGGTTTAAAGAAGAAGGCAAGGGGGGAAATCTCTCCCCATTATTTATTCACATTCCAAAGACCAACAAAGACAGATGTGATTTGCAGAAGAGTTTGGGAAATGTTCTGAGAACAGCCTCTGAAAACTTGGTGGGGGGGGAAAGAAGGCCTACTTCTATCAAGTCGAAGCTGAGGGTTACTTGCAGAGGGCGGTTTGATTAAAAAAATGTATTTGTTAATGAACGTAGCTTTGTACATGATCGCTATACAGATGTTTCTGTTTATTTTTACCTTGGGTTAAAAATCTGCTGGAGGATTCCGTTGCAATTTGTCACTGCTATTGTTTGGCAAGGAAATAATTGCATGCAAAGGAAATAATGAGAATGCAAAAGCAGAGGAATCTGTTTGCTCTGCTTGTCTATTTAAAAAAAAATCCCAACCCCATTAAAAAACAAAAAAAATTGAACATCAGAATTGAAGTCGGAATAGAGCACTAAGGGGGGTCTCCTGCATTGGTATAACCGAGGTTAATGACGGTGTCAGGGGCTGAATTCCAAACCCCTTGAACAGGGGAAGAAAATAGATCCATGCAGTAAATGGATTTGGAAAATGTTAAGCATCTGCAAGGAAGTTTAACATAGGACCCTCTGATTCAAAGGGAAGAATGCAGCCCCGTTAATCTAGCATCTGTTCTAGCTTGTGATTGCAACTTAATTCTCAATACACATCCTTGAACACCCCGGAGTTTTAATTGCATTGCAGTGTGGGCTGCTGTGTAAATTAGACACACAGACCACTCTGGATTCTCATCCATAGATAGATGATAGATGATGATTGATAGATAGAGGATGGATGGAGGGATGAATGATAGATGTATGTATGATGGATGGATGGATGGATAGATAGATAGATAGATAGATAGATAGATAGATAGATAGATAGACAGACAGACATGGATGGATGGATGGATGGATGGATGGGTAGATGGATGGATAGATGGATGGATAGATGGATGGATAGATGGATGGATAATTAGATGATAGATAGATAGATAGATAGATAGATAGATAGATAGA